TCGTCCAGAAAAGTAAAAAAAAGCTCCTTCGGTAAACAACTCAAACATCAGCTGACCTTCTCATCCTATTCTATGGGCCAAAAGTCAAAGTGTCACAAAGACTCTGTATGAAAGCAGAATGGGTGGGGCACCCCTAACCATTCATCTAGTCTGCATTTATTAATTCAACCAAACTATCATTTGTTTACTTCCTTTTGCATAGCATTCGGGCACCACTATGCTAGTATCGGATGGTGGTTCACTTGGCAGAGGTGCACAATTACCATCGTTCAATGTAAAAATAGAAGAGTGCGGGGATAGGAAAGTAGTGGGGGCCATGAAAGAATCATGAACTCAGGAGAGCACTTCGACAAAAATGTTGAAAAACAATCTTATTGGTCGTTTCAGTTTGGAGTGACCTCTCATGAGATTGGTCACTTACTCGGTCTTTTTCATCATCAGCAACGCTACGATAGAGATGCGTACGTGAGGTTTGTGCCAGCCAATGTACCACAGCAGGACTGGGTGAACTTTGAGACGGTGAGCAGCACAGACAATCATTCATTCGATTTCAATGAAACTTCAGTTTCCTTCACCTACCAGAGGGAGCTAATTAATCGTTTTCCTAGATCTCCCCGACGTATCTGGACACTTATGGTCTTCCTTACGATGTTGGAAGTGTAATGCACTATGCTCCTACCGAGTATGTTTTTTTAAACACGATGCAAGTTCTTATACACTGAAATCATCATCCTAATAAATATAAACGACTTCGTCTGCTGTCTGTCTGTCTGTCTGTCTGTCTGTCTGTCTGTCTGTCTGTCTGTCTGTCTGTCTGTCTGTCTGTCTGTCTGTCTGTCTGTCTGTCTGTCTGTCTGTCTGTCTGTCCGGAAATTCGGCATTACCTGAAAAGCCAGTGGAGCCAGACAGGGTGGAATGGGTAGGGCATGGACCAAGATGTACGGAACACATACGGATTGAGCGGTGTCCCGCCCACCGTGAACGGTAGTCCCTCAGCCAGGAGCCGCCTATTCTAAAAATTAGTAGTTCGATACAGAAGGCCCCTGAGAGCGGAAAAATTGAGATACTATAGGAAAGTAGGCTTACGATATGAAAGAGCCATGTTCATGGGCGGGACATATCATGGATTTGTTGGCGTTTGCTGTAATCAAACAAATAATTCCGTGTTCCAGAAAGGTCTGCAGAGCGGAGTAAGTTGGTTCGGAGTGCGGAGTAAGTTGGCTAGATAGGAAATTAGTCCCCACATAAAATGAGAGAGACATACGCGCAGTGGGCGGGTGTTGAAGTCGCCCCTTCCTCTACTAACACCGCTGTAATGGTTCAAAAGCTTTTGAGTACCTACACTGAACAAGTGGAACCAACCAAACAGCAGGCGAATACGCCTCTACCGGTTCAATTCTCAAAGCGTTCTTGCCCAGTGCAAGACAGATATTATCAAGACCGATCCGATCAGAGCCCTCTCTTGGAGCGCGAAAAGTAAGGGAGAAAGAGACTTCTATAGCGCGCCTTCCCAGCACAGACTTCGCTCTGAGGTCCCAGGGACGATATAGAGAACATCCAACGAAACATTGAGGGGGACATCGATGGTGGGTGACAGCAAGTGAAGCGGCGGATATAATGTGACAACAAGCGGCAAAAGGAAAGGGATCGATGTTTGCGACGCGCTTCAAGTGCTGTAACAGTATAACAGGTGAAGCATAGTAGGAGAGTAATATCGATAACAACGGCCAGAAGTGACCGATAAGGACTGATAAGAGTCGATATTTGCTGCTTTTCACCGCATCCCTCACGGGAAACCCTTACGGGAAAGTGGGGAAGGAAGGTCTAACTACTTGATCATCCATCGGAAAAGCCTGAGAGGGTAGGTCGCAGCTCAAGATTGTAAGGTTAAGTGCACAGATATCCTTTCACAAGTCAAAGTTTCACTCTCATAAGGTACAGCCGGCGTGGAGGTGGTGTAGTGAAGTGGCGCGCTTACCACTCGCGCGGCGCCGGGTTCGAATCCCGGGTCGACACCCGCCCAGGCCAACCAAGCCTTCTACCCTCCGGGGACGGTAAATTGGTACCAGATCTGGGAGGATAAAACACTGACTTGTACATCGGCTGGCCACCGCAAGTCATTGTATAGGCCACATCGCATTCAATAAGCCACTACGATTCTGAATGGAAGTAGAATGCGTGCCGCATCCCACAAAGGGATTGATCAACGGCGAAGACTTTATCCTTTATCCTTTCAAGGTACAGCCATAATGCTCACTGTGATGAGCAGCAGCTAATCTAGTAAAGGCATAAACTGCCATGGTTAGCTCTGACCACTCTTTTTTGAACTAAGATTTCG